TGCATTGATTGTTGGACGGTTCCAAGTAATTCACGGTACGAGGTCATCGCACGTAGGTTCCTGCAAGTGATATTGTGATGGTGTGGGTGATTTGATGTTCACTCTGCCCTAGAAGTGACACTATAACCTGTAACGCGAATGCTCTTCTATTTGCATCCCAGTCATCGCCATTATCTTCCCAGTTCGCTACGAATGTTGCATCAAATATCCGCTGATTCACTCGGCCTGCTGAAGCTTCTCCGTCAAAAGCGAAACGTTATATCTACTAGCTATGCCAAGGGATTGTTTCCAAACCCTTCTGAAATCTTGAGTGTTTGTTCGGTTCCAATCATATTTCAAAACTGATTTTTTTTGTCATTATGTGGATTGTTCGGAGCCACCAAACTGCTTCCGATTTCAAATATTATGGTTTCTAATCCTTAGGTTTCTTCTAATCTGCAGTTTTACTACACCATATTCTATAACCCAACATTTGTGACAAAATAATATCGGAAATATTAAGGGTTTTAGCGATAAGGGTAGAGTTGCTCAGCACCAAATTTATAAATTCATCTTATTACGTAGCTGCCTTGGTCACTATCTTTGTCTTAAGAACCGAGATTATGCAGCTGTCGAGTTGTCAAGAATGATTATCGGAGTACACTTTTCTTTGATATGCGTCACCACAATTTAATAAACATCGCAACACCATCATTACCGCGGTCTTGAGTGGTGCACAGTCGACTCAGTTGCACTCAATTTCACGGACTGTTACGGTTTCACTTTCCGCACCAACGCGGAGTCCTCTCCATGCCGTTACAACTCACGGCAATCGGACTCCCCACACTGCATTGTTCGCGTCATTGCTGGAAAAGCGGATTCCGCTTCTTTCCCTACTTTCAGCATGAAATCTTTGTTTTTCTAACCGTTGATATTGCGAGCCCGGCCCTTGTCAAAAAGGATCGCGCATTTGAGGTTGTGTAGGGGACTGGGCCACCTTCGCAGTATACTTAGCACACGCGCGGCTGGTGGTGGTTGGGTGTCAATGAAGTATCAGTACTGCGTACCGGCTTACTGCTGATACCTTACCTTTTTGTTGTTGCCAGCTCGTTGCTGGCCTTTCGCTGTTCTGCATTTATAAGTGTTATGGGAGCCCACACCTATTCGATTTACCTTAGTGGTACCTCTTTTTACTCTTCGAACTTATGTATTTAGCGCAGACTATTTTGCTGAACTCGACGAGCCGTGACTTTTTATTACCCGTGTTTAACCATTGTTCCGTTGCTTGTAAGCCATAATTCTGATATTTAGTGGTCTATTACTTTGTGATTCTCATTGTTGTTTCTCCATTTTCCATCTATTTTAGGGTTACCTAGTTCTTGAACTCTTTTTCATCATATGCCTCTGCTTCTGCCTGGTCATGGTGTTTGTGATGTACGCTTGGGACGAGAAACAGGGCTGTGTGCTGAATGAAAATGGCAAAAGTCGACGCGCGAAGCAGAGCGCGGTAACCGCACAGACCCCAATCTCGGTGGACGTGGTGGACGCAGTGGACAACACCAGTTTGTTGCGATCTCAGTAATGAATGCGGCAATCATCTCTTCGCTCAGGGGCCATCGTTGGCATGTGTTCTACCCGGTTTTATATGCTATTCACATCCGGATCCACTGATCAGAACAGGCCTTAATGATTTTTTGCGCCATGTCTTCCATTGCTTCTCTTATTCATTCCAGTTTTTATTGGGATATAAACTTATATCACCTTTCTTCACATTATGTTCACTTCTCCCATTGGATTTTGATCCACGTTTTTCCTAGCGTGAACTTATTTATCCCACTCTTCCTAATCTGTTATTTTTTCACACGTCACTGGCATCTCGACACATGTGACAAGTTAATCACTTATGGAATCGTTTTGATCCATAGACGCTTTTTTCTTGGGGCTTGGATTCTTTTTCTATCATTTCCTTTGTATTAAACCCTTTGGACTGTTGAGAGTATTCTCTGAAGATAATCGGATTTTTAGAGCTAGTAGCATCACCAGACCTCTTCTGGTTACTATTCGGAGGTTATGAGAACTGTTACTAAAAGCATGAGGATTCCGTTCACAACAAGCTTTCGCGCAATAAACATGATGGCCAAGATTATTCCTTGTGACGATGTCACTTGTGTTGGGACACTTGCAATCATGTGCATAAGACACACCATCGGTGGCCTTCCAGTCTTTTTCTTGAACTTAATTCGTATTCCACATTGTCTTGTTTGCAGATGGATTAAAAAACTCCACGTATAAACGCCTGCGTACTTATAATCCCGACTATCAATGTGACGCTTCTTTTTGCGTTACCCCTTCGGATCGGCGAAAAGGCGACATTTGTGCTCACTCGGCATACTCCCAGCTCCCGAGTTTGCTGCGTTTGCGAACCAGGCTTCTTGAGGCCAGTGGACGGAGTGTTGGAAAAGCTTGCGATTGTTGTCGAAGAGGACAGCGGTCTCCATCTCTAAAGCACCCTCAGACTATTATGCCTTGCGTTCTTTGCATAGACGTTGCTTGAGCAGCCGGTTGGCCGAACGGCGTCGTTTGTTGCAGTCTGATTCCGGCGGGATATCTTCGCGGCGATCGAACAGCTCCAGAGAGCGAGCAGAGATGCAAGCCTTGAGGGGCCTGGAGCTAGACCGCAGCTTTACTGTCCATAGTCATTGCTTTCTGAATACTAGTCCAGTGTTGCTCCATGTCTTGCGGTGGCTTGCAACTGAGTGCGTATGCCATTGAACACTGATAGCCTGCCTGGACAGAGGAATCAGTTAACCTATTTACCTGAACCTTGCATTGTTTTTTTGTTCGGGACCCTGAAAACACTGATTTTGGCGCAGACCCGTCCATGGTCTGGGTCAATGAAGGTGGTCTAAAAGGACCTGTAGTCCAGTACGCTGTCAGGCCATCTGAAGCTGATCGCAATATGACCAATATGAAATCACAGTTGTGTTGGAGTAGGGGGACGCCACGTTGCGGACCGCTTCTTCGTGCGCCTGAAGTTAGTACTGGTGGGAAACAGATGGTTGTCTTCGCACAATGTGAGAAGCCTCTCCGTTCTCAGAGCGGTCCTTATCGAGCGCTTGGTAACCACCAACATGGCGTTCGTATGGTTACAGGCGGCGAACCCGTGCCTTGAAAACCCAGCAAGGACAACGACACCTGACTTTTTCGCATTAGTCAAGAGCTTATGTAGCTCCCGATAGAAGTCCTCTTTGGAGCGTACGCGGAGATCACAAGCAAGTTGCGTCTCTGTTCGCGGCGCTTGTTGATTCTACATGAACCCCGAAACGGAACTGCACACAGTCGGCTATTAATCGGAAACCAGTCTAGTAGTTCAGCCTCGACCTTGCAACAAAACGGACATATTTGTCCTTGAGCGAACGTGCGTGCAAATCGCTCACTTGTGCACTCGTGGTTTTTTCACTATGGCTCAGTGGCATTTCGTCACACATTTTTGGATCTGCACTCATTCGTCGTGCTTTTAAGAGCTCTACCATCTGACATTATTTTCTCGAGTACATTCCAGTGCATTCTACATTTACCCTGATTTCTAAATTCCGGGCAATGTTTCGCTGCTATCTAAACGCCAAAAGTTGTCTAACTCCAACGATTGGAGACATTGTTTGGTCTCACTCGATGGAATATTTCAACGGCTTTGGAACGAACTGTCACCCGTTTAAATCCAACATTGCTTGCAGCAGCCACAGGTCTCAAGGCAAATTCACCCGGCGCGATTCATTTGATTAACCACCAAAATTCTCAATCACACCCTCGTGTAATCTGCCCCACATTCAAGCTGACGCATTCGACTGGCACGCCAGAGAGGACAGTCTGCGAGTACACAACTGCAACGTGAACACTATGACCTTGCTGACAACGTCAGTAACGGAACAACCTTTATTATAGGGGGTGAGTCATTTAAATGGTTCGTAACATTTGCTCAACAAGCGCGATGCCCAGTGTGCCACGAAGACCTATGTGGATAATGTACCAAACTTGTTAAGGGGGGCATTTTGTGCCGTAACTATTGCAAGTTCTTTCATGCGAGATGCCTCCGAGTTAAACTTAGTCAGGCCAAGTTATTAAACAAACCAGACTCGCTATGGTTCTGTGTGGAATGCACACCGATCCCACTGATAAAAAGCGTGCTCCTATTATCTAAGAAGTGTGATCAGCTACTAGCCAAGTTTGTGGAAATGGTGGCCACCAAAATCACTACGGTTGGGGTAAGTATAGCGGACTGTGCAACGCAATCCTCCCCCACAGTGCTGCTCCTATCCAACACGACACCTAGCATCCCGAACATCAACTGCTGTTCCAATACCGCACGTTGCTCATGTTTGACTAATGCGGTTCCCAGTTCAATCAGATTAACTACACGTAAGGCCATTTTCCAACTCCCGACGGAGCGCGTAGAAAAGAGCAAGTCCGTATTAGCGAAAGTTGGTTTGCGGTTGCTTCCAAGAAGAGCCGCCATTTAAAATTAACACAACCCCCAAATGGATTGGATACTGAGGAGCGTAGCGGAAGTGTATTGCTGCGAGCACCACCGGTTACCTGCGGTACATCTCCGAGTATTTCAATCACTAACCGCGATATGTCGAATGGTGTAAAGAAACAACTACCTGTACTGAGCGTACTGTGCTCCAATATCGCAGAATCAAAGTTGACTTCAATAAGAGGCAGGCAGTTGGATGACTTCAACCGGTTTGATATTAGTAACCTAATCGGAGTTGCACTGAAACCTGTACACGAAGTGCGTATTACGCGACACCCCAAATCTACGCATTTCGAAGAGCCAAGAATTCTGCGCGTTGTGCCGAACTCTATCACTGAACTAGAATCAGTACTACTGTCGACAGGTAGTCTCAAAAATGAACACTGCTCCATCCATATCTTTCCAGGCATCCTATGTGGGGAGCTTTATCGAGAAAACCGCACCTTGCAGGACTACCGGAAGGAAGCTTCAACCAGAACCATACTTCTTCACGGGGTTCCTGCAGCTGAAGCATGTGATGAGAATGAAGTAACAACCCATGATAAAGAACATTGGTGTTATCGTGAAACACTCTGCTTGGATGATGTGTCGGCGAAATCCGTGTCACGACTGCGTACCTCACCGAACTACAAAGGAATTGGCCCTAGAGTGTTGAACGTGGTCCTTCAGTCAAAACGTATGTTAGCACGGATGCTTAAAAGCTGGTACAAGTTCCGTTGCAGGCTACCATCTGAGCTTCGCCTGAAGACAGTCAGCGATATGCCTCCTAGAAATGCAATGACACTCAAAGAACCGAACACGATGGGATGTATAAAAGAACAATGCACCAGTAGTGTGTCGAATGAGCCCCTAAAACCTGTAGAAGATGCAATTGACTAGACACCTTACACTGTATGTAGAAGATTAGACATAGGACTAACTACGCGGACGATGAATAAGACGTTATACCCTTCACCTCGTTCACATCGAAAAATCGATTAGTCGCCGGCCACTCACTGGTCGTCGTAACTCCACGTATGAACTGCACAACCTCTGAAAGACTTCCTAATTTTAGAAACCTTCATGTATGTACACTAACGATCAAGGGCTCCTCAGTAATCTTACCGAACTTCAGCTACGTCACATTGCGAATGCTTGGGACCTAATATCTATACTGAAATTTGGTTACACCAAGAGGTGACTGATGCTGAGTTTGAGATAGCTGGAAACTAACTCATCCGGAACGATCACATCAACAAAGGAGTTGGGGTCCTACTCTACTACCGCAGCGACCTGCAGTTTGCAATAATTGGTGATCTGGAAACTTACGCTGTTGACTCACTCTGTTGCCGTCACCGACTAAGACACAATGACACATGTCATTTAGCTGTCGTTTACGGCCCCATAACCTCCACTCCGGAAATGTATTCCCGCTTGATATGTGGCCTGAACAGAATAACACGGACTAGGCACAGCTACATTCTCATCTCCACGGACTTTAATCTGCACGATCTGGGGGTTTCGGCATCACCCAGTAAGCAGTTCAAAGTAGACTTGCATGGACGGATCGTTAATATTCCCTTGTGCAATCATGTCACCACGCCCAATGGATTCAGGACAGCAAACAAACCATATGGGACCTTGTGCTCACGAATGAAGGGCTCACGGTTGACAATAACGTTCAACTATGTGTGTTAAGCAGAGTATCTAAATGGACACTCGGAACTAACTCATCCAATCACACGCTACCACGTATTGAAAAACTCTTCGACGCAGGGGCTTGGGAATTCCCTAACATCAGTCCCCTTGACAACGTTAGGACAGAGTTCGTCGATAGACTCAGCGACATCGTCAACAGAGTATCAGTGACCAAGGCCCTTCATCCCGCAAAAAATGTCTTTAGTTATATGTAGCAGCACTCGAAAATGCCTAGCGATAAGGGCTGCAGCATG